TATTAGCAATTTGTTACACCTCAGAATGTGGCATGGGAGATGTAGTATTATAAAACATACTTGGGTTTACTCTGAAAGTAAGGTTGTATATACTTACAGTTCAATTTCAATGCTTTTGTGTTGGGCAATTTTATTTGCAATAAGAAACATTTCCCTGGTGCTGTGTGGATTCAAACTGAGGATTTTTCTCTTGCCATTAAACGTGCTGAGTGATCTGACACAAACTTTTGGATCTCACAGGACACTGGGCTTTTCCCTTTCCTAATTACAGTTTCTATTACTTGCTTGAGGGGATACTTGTGAAGGGATGCATGCAGCTATGTCTCAAAAATATTTCTTTTGCAGAAGGAGGAAAGATTAATTCATTCTACTAGGAAAAATAGGACTTTCTCCTCTTCTGTAACATCAGTGATAAAATCCTTTGGGAGAGTGGAGAAATATTGCTGAGGAAGTCTGCAATTTCAAGATTTAGACTCTTCCTTGAACTCTTGAAACATGTTCCAAGTTTGCAGAATTAGCAAGATGACAGTTCAGAAGGTTCTTGCAGCTCTCAGGTTTGTAATTAGTTAAATTTTTTTGTGTTTTTCTTAGTTTTAATGGGTGAACTTACTCTTGAAGTGAAAAGCAGAATTGCTAAGTGATCACTGCTTCTCAGATCCTGTGCTTAATCCTAACACATAAGGTAAAATCTCCCTTGGGTTGACCTCTTCCCTTAAATTCTGGGTCTAGACCTTCAAACTGTCTCATGCTGGACTTTGCTGAAAAGAGAAAAATGCCATGCTAATTGGAGGCACATTGCTGCTTCTGGATAAAAAAACCAAAGTCCCTCCTTGGCAAAATGGAAATCTGAAGGTGCTTTGTCAGGTGGAAATACAAATGCTGTGTAAGATCTATCTCAGGGAAGGCAGATGATGTGTCTCAGATTTCCAAAGCACCTGAAGACAATTCCAGCCAGTGGCTGTTCAGAGCCACTGCTTACTCTCCGAATTGTGTGAAGTTTCATTTGCCACAGGTGGGTGAGGGAAGGATGACCTGTGCTTTGAGTTTTTTGGTCTAAACCTGGAATTCTCTGGACCACTGGCAGTTTGTTTGTTGAACCATTCACTTGTGTACAGCCAGAGCTCAAACCTGTAGCCATTTTCCATGGCAAAGAAGCCAGAGACTGTTATTGATAAATCTCCTGCTCAGTCTTAGAGTAAAATCTTTTGTTGTTTTACAAGTACTGTTTTTTTGTTTTACAAGTACTGTTTTTTTGGGTTTTATTTTTGTTTTGTTTTGTTTTTTTTTTTTTATCTGAAGTAAAAAAGTATTCTAACTACTGTAAAGTATATTCCCACCACGCCTGGTACACTTAGAACAGAGGTAGAGCTGCCACATTTTATGAACATGCAGAATTTTCTCACTGAGTGTAGAAAAAGTGGCTGAGCATGCTCTTGTGGCTAGGAAACATTGACATCTAAACTGTCTTCCACTCTGTCAAGGAAATGCTGCATTTATGGGGTTTTCTTTGAGTCAGCAAGAATAAGTCAACCAATTTCTTCATTTATGAATAGGAAAAAAATTGGTCTTGCCTAGTTAATCGCTCCATATATGAAAATTGTATCTCCAAAAATATTAAATAATAAAAACATGGCAATCAGTAAATATCCTTCAGTATGAAAGAAATAATAAGAAAAAACAGGGTTTTAAGAAAAAACAATAGCTTCTTTTTAGCTATTGTGAACTAATTTTAAGTTACAAATAATACCTGTCTTAAGTACTGATTTGTTCTGGTATTTAAATACATGGTTCAACCAACTCAATGCGTTTGAGCAACCTCCCATCCAGTTTTTAATTGATACCATCAGGTGTCTCTGTGTTTCTGGTGTGCTATCCTCATCCTAGCACCATGAACTGGGACTAGATTCCTCTCCTGCCTTGCTGCAAATCCTGACAGGCTGTGCAAATTGCACTTCACAGTAGTTTTGTTCTCTGAAGTGGCAGGGTCAGCTGTTCTTTGCCTCTCTTCCTTGCAAGCTTGGCCAGGAGCTGCTTCCAGCCCCTGACTAGTGCTCTTCTGATTGCCAGGGACTGTCAGAGGCCACTCCAGGGGCTGTTGTGTGTTTGATTCATGGTTTGTCAGGCTAAACCATACCCTAAATCTCCAGTTTGGCCCTTTGAGTCTCAGTTTCACAGTGAGTTTTGTACTCAGCTCCTTGCCTTGTGAAGCTGTAAACTTTAAGGCAGCAATCAAGAAACGTAATTCATCCTGTGGAAACATCCAGGAAAAGAAAAGAAAAAAAGTGAAAAGATCATTTGTAAATAAGCAGCTCTTAAACTGCTCTTGTGTACATGGATGTCTGCTACAGCTTTTGGTAAATCGTGATGCAGGACCTGCAAAATGGGATGCAGTCACATTCCCATTTTCTTCTCAGAAACGGCTGTGGGCTGTTGGTGAACCAAGTCCCTGTCTGTGCCCCTTCAGGATGACATCTGTGTGCTAAAGAGAGCATATTTAATGATTCAATAGTTGGAAATTCCCTTAAATATCCTCCAGGTTATACTGCATGTTTGAGAGAGACCTGAATGTGTGCTGAATACTGGTTATCCCTGATCTCTTATATGGCCCAGGATCTACTATTTGCCTTTAAGAAACGAACCATATTTTACAGAAAATAATTCTTGGTGTCTGACTGATCATCTGTGACCAGGCATGTCTTTTGGTATATTTACTATTATTTTTTTTTACTGTGGACTGTTTCAGTGGTAATTATGTAGTCCAGTAGATGTAGTAAAATGAAAAAATATTCTGGATTGAATTGGGTACTCTTTGTGTTGCCCTTACTTGCTTTAGGGGAAGAAGACAGGTTTTGGGACTAATGGTTATTTCTGTGCTTGCTCTACAAAGCAAAGAGTGTAAGATACAGTGACAGGCTGCTAATTCACATTTTATAGTGAAATTGGAAAATTGCGTGAGAATAGGGATGGGTAATGAGATGCCTTCTTTCACACAAACCTGAAACAAGGCAGGGAATAGAGTGCTGGAAGGCTTTGAAAAACCCTGGGTAATTTTTGTTTGTTTCCTGGAGATATATTATTATAATAATATTAATATTATTTGTGTTGTAAATACTACCAAATTTCAACAGTGGTCATGGATGGAAGTTCTGTTTACAGGAATCTAAACATCAAATGGGCAGGAAGAGTGAACGTGAGAAGGAACCAGTGTTACCCCTTCTGAAGCACCGTGGTAGGACCATGGAAGGAAACCTGCACTGCTTTATTCCCCTGTGATCCTTCTCTTTGAATCAAATGGAGAATTTTAACCTCAGAGGTAAAAAAATTTGTATTTCAATGCTATGACAATGGCTTATGATAATTTTAATGTATGAGGTTGAAATATGTACTTAGTGAAATACTTGTAGTCACTGTCTTGGGGTGTTTGTTTTTGTTCTGTGTATGTTGTAGAAAATTAGTGTTGACTGGACAGTAGTTGCTTTCCTTACTGAGACTTGTTTACATTTAGATTTGGAGTATATTAATTTTTAAAAAATATATTAATACTGTTTCCCTTTGTTATTTGGGAAAGAATGCAATAACTATCTCCCAGAAAGTAAGCTGAGTCATGAGAAAAGCACTTACCTGAAGCAAGAAAAAGGTGAAAAGACATGGTCATGGTGCTGCTCGGGAATAGTTCTTGCCTGTGCCTTTTTCCTAAAGAAAAATTAAGCTAAAAGCTAAATTATCCTCCTGAGAATCCCTGCATCAATCTGTCACTGTTTCCATACAACTGAGTTTTGATCAAGCCCTCAGTTCTTCAGCAGGAAAAATATTTCGTTGAAGTAGTTTTTGACCACTTCTAATGAATGCAGTAATTAATTTCACAGATATTAAAAAAATAAGGGCTAATAAGAAAATCTTATGAGTTAAGTATCTGTGCTGAAAATAATAAAGCAGTGATGAGTCTATGAATCAGCAGGGTGTCAAGGCTCTAGTTCCTGGGATTCACCCGAGAGCTGTCTCCAACACTTCTACAGTTACAGATTTGAAAATTGTGTGAGAAAACATTCTTTTTCTATAAACACAAGGACTTCCAAGAAGATGTGTATCTGAAAATGTAGTGTTGACTTTGAAATATCTGAAGTGTTTTAATGAGGAAGGGTTTTAGAATGCGTTTTGCATCTTCACTGTGCGGTTCTGCACCTGTTGAATCTCGTGCTACAAGCTGGATTTCTTCCACATCCTCAGGAGTTCTGGTTGTGTATCTGCAGTTCAGGTCCTCCTCTTGCTGTTATCTAGCAAATAGAGCTTTAGGTTGGGGTTGCAGGTCCTCTTCTCACTGTTATCTAGCCAATATAGGTTTAGCTTGGGGTTGAATGGAAGCGTATTGGTGTTTAAAAACAGCCCAGCTTGGGAAAAGCCTGCTTGCAAACACGAGCCGGTAATAAAATGTGCTAATTGGTTTCTTAGGAAAAAAGCACCAGCAGTGAAACTTTTCACACGGGGTATTTCGCCAGGAAGTGTGTCAGTGTAACATAACAGACCCACATTCTCCATCTCATCTGTGAATGGGGAGTTTTCACGGGGGTGGGGAGCAACCTCAGCCCCAGAAACACAATATGAGCCCTTTAGGGCTTTTTCTTCCCCCCCCCCCCCCCGCCTCTTTTCACACAATAGGGCAGCCGCTCTCCATTGCTGACGGCTCCTGCTCTTATCAGGGGCAGGATTGGGCAGATAAACTATGTTAAGTCAAAGCTTGCTGTAAACACTTTCGGGCGCTTACAGCTGAGGAACCACTGAAAACACTACTGCAGAAACCGACTGGGGGAGATGTTTGGGTTTCGCACCAAAACAAGCCAATTTCTCTTTTCACTTCTGACGGCTTAAGGCGGGGGTGCAAGAAATGAGCTGGACAACCGCAGAGCGGGCAGGTCTGGAGCGCGGGACACCAGGTGAGCAGGGCGGGGGTTCGGTGCAGCCCTGGGGAGCTGGGTGCAGCCCCGGGGCTCGGGGGGGGCCGGGGCTGAGCCCCGCTCGCTCGGCTCCGGCTGCTCGGCAGGGCAGCGTCCGCCGGCGGCTCGGGGCGGGAGGCGGCGGGCAGCGCCCTTCGGCGGCAGAGGTACAGCTCCCCCCGGGACTCCCTTTGTTCCGCGGCACCGGGGCTCCCAGCCCGCCGGGGATGGGGATGGGGACGGGGTGGTGCGGCGGCTGGGCGCCGGCTCTGCTGTGAGGAGCGGGCGGCGGTGCCGGGTGCGGTGCCGAGCACGGCAGCCCCTTCCCCGCGCACAGCTGCGGCTGCGGGACGCCCTGCGTGCGCTGCGGCCGGCGCGGAGCTCTGGTGGGCGGCAGCGGGGCTGGGACAGCTTCATTCAGGCAGGAACGCGGTGCGCACACACGCAGGGACCGTCCGGGGCTCGCTCCTTCAAATATGAGAGTGTGCTTGTGTGTGTGTGCGTGCTCCTTCTGGGAAGAGAGCGTGGCATCTCTTTCTTCTTGTCTAAAATAATTACCCCGTGCGCGCGGCTTTCCCGAGTGCAGAAGAACGGGCTCGGCTGCGGGGCTGGGGGGAGCCGTGGGAAGAGCGCTGGGAACTTGGAGCAGGATGATGGATTCTGCCATCGCTTGCAGAGGAGACTTGAGGAAGGGCTTTCCAGGGCAGGGTCATTGTCCCAGAGAACTTCCCTGAGGGGACGGGTTGGTGTAGCCTCCCAGGGAAGACCGGCTGTCTGCGCCCATGGAGGCTGTCGGGATTCGGTGTGGGACATCTGCTGCCGCCGTTTTGGGAAGGGCATCCCTTTGTTCCTCCGAGTGGCCAGGCTCCCCGCTGGAAACAATGGCCTTCCTAGCAGAGCCAGGGGGAGCGGGGCAGTCACCAATGGTCCGGCGCTCCCTTCCTTGCCCACGGTGGCTCTGTGCTCACGCGTCCGCGCTCGCACGTGCTGCTTGCTTTTTTCCAGTAATTCAAAGCGTTGAAATTTCACGCCGTGTCATTACATCGGTTGCTATGTGTTTAGTCCGGACCACTATTCTAAGGGACAAACGTAAGAGTAACGAAACAAAAGCTAACTACTCTTAATATTTATGTCAGAGAAACTATTTAAAAGAGATCCAGATTGGAAATGGCCACTGGCATAAAGGTCAGGTAAAACTCCTGACTTGGCGATTTTTGTGTGGAATCGTGAGCCTTCCATATCCGTCTGTCCTATTGTTAATTGTGAATTAAGGCTGGCAACAAGCTGCCCATCCTTCCCTGCATGAATCATCACTTTGTCCAAGCCCTATGTCAAAAACAAGGCTTTCCCCAAAAGTGTGCAGTGTTAGAGAACAGAAATAGTCCAACCCATCTGTTAAAGTTAACTTCAGTCCTTGGCTGCTTTTAAGCATATGAAAGGTAAAGACATTCTTCTCATGTGCTTTTATTTCCAGTTGTCCCGGGCCCGAGTTTAAGAATGTCTTCAATTTAGTGCTTAAAGCAATGTGCTGCCTGTGGCTTAATTTTGTGTGAAGGTGTGAGGGTTGGAGCGTTCCCATTCTTCCTAAAGTAACATAAAGTGGTCACAGCTTGTGTTGGCTTGTAGCAGTTACTGGCGTTATAGGTTGCCACAAGTTGCTCCATATCCTTAGTATCCTTAGGATGTTTCTGAAACACCTTTGTGGTGTTGGATATCTAAAAGGATTCTGGCTCCTTATGAGCACCATGGACAGATTGAGTGCTCAGCAAAGGGAAGGACTCATAAAAGCATCTTAAATCACAGAAGCTTGTCTTTTTACTGTTTTTTTTTGTGTTGTAGGTTTTTTGGTTTTTTGGTAGGAGACCTTGGCTTGTCTTTTTACTGTTTTTTTTTTTTTGTGTTGTAGGTTGTTTTTTGGGTTTTTTTTGTAGGAGACCTTATTAAATCACACCTGTGGGGAGGAACTCTGTGTGGAACTGATGCCAGAGGCCGGCAGGTTAGCTCTGTTGTGTTAGCCCATTCAGGCATTGTGCAAGACTCATGTAATTGCTTTTAGAAGGGCAAATGTGCATTGCAAGCCTACTAGTGCTTCTGGGGGAAGGGAAAATAAAAGTCTGGCAAATGAGGAGAGGAAGTGGGAGAGAGCAATTGGAAACATAAGCAAAGTCATTAATTTTTCCCACTGTGCACTCTTAAGAAACTGCTGGCAACATACTGGAGATACTCTGCCTCATGGAAGTGTGAGGGACTTGCTTCACATGATTCTCTGAGATCATCTGGTTTCCCTGAGCTCTGTGGGAACAGAAATTCCTCACGCTGGAGTCTGATCTCATCTTCCTTCGGCAGCAGTAGTAGCAGCGGCTTGGGAATTGGAGAGGAAGGTGAAGAAAGTGCCAGTGGGACGGTTTGGAGAAAAGCTCAGTTCTGGTGTAGGCCAAGCTGGACACTGCTCCCTCCTTTCATTTGCCTTGTGTGGTCAGAGCTGGGACAAATGCTGACATGCCCACCAAAGTTCAGTGCCCTTTCAGACTGCTGAGCTTATTTAGCACAGCTCGTGCACCAGGGCGTCCTTTAAATCTCACCCTGTATTTCATTCATCTTTTTTTACTATACTGAGGAACAGCAAACTGAAGTGGAAAGTGGTGACTTGAGTGACTGTATGCATCAAGCTTGGGGAATTTCCTGAGTTTGAAAGACAGAAATAAAAGGGTTTTTCCCTCCCTTATAGCTGTGTAGTCTGTTAAATTCTCAGAGCCTTCTAAGTAGCCTCTTCTGTTTGTTGTGGGACTACTGGCAAAAAATTTAGGAAGATTGAAGTAGCAATGACCAGCCCTGGAGTCTGTAACTTGATCTACAGCTTTTTCTCTTCAACTGGGAAAGGAAGTAACAGCTCTTGTTACACCCTTATGTAACCTCTCCATTCATAACCTCCAAAAAAGAAGGAAACCAGAGCTGGATTTCTGGTGTATAAGCTAACATCAAGGCATGCTTTGTCATAAAGAAACAGTGAAGAATAACATTAATTTTCTTCTGTTTTGCAGTTCCCAGAATGGAAAAAAAAGCCCCAAAATCCACAACCTTACCAAAAGTTAAACATTTTAATTTCGTGCTGATAGGATAGTGGAAATCTCTGCGACTCTTTGTCATATGCTGTGAAGTAGCTGTTAAAGAGGATACTGAAACTACACAGAGAGTGTTTTTGTGGGTCTTCTCTGGTGTGTTTGAGCATTAATCTCAAAACATTCATCCTTTGTAGTTGTGCCACAGTTTGCTTGTGGTTTGGGAAAATTTTGGTCTTTTGGTGTTTATTACTCCAGAATTTTGGTTCTGAACAGTGTGGAGACCAGGATCTCTCTCTTGTTTTTTTTTTGCTTTATTTTGTTTGGTTTGGTTTTTTGTTTCCTGATACTGGCATAGCTTTTAAAGTAAACTACAGAAAGTTAATCCTTTTGCCTCTCCCAATTCCATTTTACTGGGAAATTTCCCATTTGGTATCACCAAGGAAACTTGTATCCATTTCTTGATATATATTTTAAGCCTGATAGCGAAGTCACCGTGGTGATGAGAAAGTTTCAGTGAGAAAGACTAGTCCTTAAAAATACACGCTCAGAGGCAAAGAAAATTATCAAGTCCCCTTTCCAGATGCAAACAGGTTGGGGAATTCTTCTATGCAGACAGTAAAGCAGTAGTAATGGACCCCAGAGGCCAGAAAAACATCTTTTTTTTCAGTGCTCCAGGTTTTGGGAGGAAAACAATTGGGAAGCGGTCTCCAGCCTGAGTGACCACATTTAACATTTCAGCAAACGAGCTGAAGGCTCAGGAAAGGAATCCGGACTCCCAAGGAGTAAGGGCTAGAAATGTTTACTGTCGCTAAGATTTTCTGTCATTTTCAGGGGTGGGGAGTGATAATTGCCTTGTCTCTGGCTTTGTGAAGTGCTACCTTGGAATTGCTTCTTCAGTGTGGATTTACTGGTTAACTTTTCCTTGTTCTCCCTTGGAGAGGCAGAAACCCTTCCAAGGGTCTTGAATTGGCAGAAATCTTTATGTTGTTGGGCAGGAGGACCATGAGAGCAAAAGAAAGCAGGAGGAAAGTAAGAGCCTATATCAAGGAGAAAAAGAGGAATAGATTCTGAGTAACAGAAGGGTTGGTAGGTGTTGTACTATCAGAAGTGTTTCTTATAGAGTTCTTTATTTTCTAAATGAAGGCAGAAAGGAAAGACTCATTTTTCCCCACTGTAAGCAAAACCAGTTTTTAAAAGCGTGTGACCGCAGCCTGGTCAACAGTGGTACAAGTTTCCTGGGCTCACAAATATGCTTTGTATGTAAGCCCTCTTGCTGTTTGCTTTATGCTTCTTTGTCTGTAATATTCTATAATTTTCAAAGCTTGTACACTCCAAAGTGCAACTGGGGTTACTTTGCATCGCAATAAGAGTACAAATATAAAATTACAAATAAGAATAATTAAACTGTAGGCTTTACTACAATGGAAAGAAAAACAGGTAGCAAGCTGTGATATCCTGAAATGTTTTGTCACATCCTGAAAAGTTTCTACTCTTTTATATGCATTTTGTCTATGGAGTCTGTTCTCCTGTTGTCTACAAGAGTGTACTGGCGTTTGAAGATCTCTGAAATCCTGGGCCTTAAGGTAACCCCCAGTTTTTGTGCACAATGGAGCATATGCAGTGTCCTGACACTGTGCTGAAATCCTTGCCAGTAATCTTTGAGAACCTGCACCTCAGAAATGAGGAAACTGCTGGGTGATGAAGGGTTGAATTCTGTATCTTGGGAAAGCACAAGCAAAGGAAGCTATTCTTACTCTGTGTTTTAATGCCTTTGTGTTAAAACAATTTGAAGCACAGTTAAGGGTATCCTTTTAGATCAGAGGTGTGCTTAAAGTCCTTACTGCATAAGGGCTCAGAGGATGGAACTTAGTGAGAAGCCAGCCCTGCTTTCAGGAGAGCTGTTAAAGGGAGTGAGTTGCTATTAATCCTCTCCACTGTTTCTCTATGGCAGCAAATAAACAACTTAACATAGAGACACTGATGAAGAGATAAAGACATGCCATTTTTTCTGTTACTCTGAAAACCAGTTTACGTTTACTATCCACTTAATAGCTTGGCTAGAGCTTCATGTTTGAGAGCTGAGAAGAAAGTTTCTAGCAGAGCTC